ATCGTGGGATCAGCCTGGAGCGGGGCCCCCATGATCAGCAGTCAGCAGAAGGCCCCGCAGAAGCCACTGGCAGGCACGGTACGCACCGAGCTCACCGCGACCAGTGTGTGGCTGTCCCCACGGCGCCTCACTGGCTCTCCCTCGAGTGGCCACCTCCCCCTTTGTTGGATGGCATTGAGATAGGCAGACACGGGCTTGTTTGCAGACCTTGTAGAAATTGGCACTATTTTGTGATACGATTTAATTCAGTTTCTGTTGTTACTTTATAAGGGATTTGTTTCAAGTCCCAAAACACGTTACATGAAAGAGTTAAAAGCTGGATGAGGGCATAGAACATCAGAACACTTGCAGACAGACCGGCTCTTGAGACAGACACATTGCCTCCCAGGAAATGTGGCCGCTGGGCACTAACCCGGAGCTCAGATTGGCAAAATTCTGTGCACTTCTTTGTACTTTATACTCACTGAAGTCCACATGTTCTTTAGTTTCTTTTTTCCCCCTGAAGCCCTTTTTCTGTCCCAGGATCCCACATCACCGCGGCTCTTCCGGCTGTGGCCACTCACCTCTCTCTCATCTCCTTGTTGCTCAGGCTGACAGGCTTCTGCAATCTCCCGCGTCCAGTGTGTTCTCGCCTGGGGAGTTACCCAAGAATAAAGATGTTGCATTTACATGTGCGTGCCTACAGTTCACAGTTACGCTTAGGGCAAGCCACAGAATCGGACACGTTATTTTTTAGAAACCTAACTCTACCGACTGCAGCTTAACCGGAGTCACAAATCTCGTTAAAACCTGAGTGACCCACATCTCAATCGTCCCCCTTTTCAGGTTAGCGCCAAGATGCTGGAACTTGCCCGAAAGCAGAGGATGAACACCGACGTCAGGAGAAACATATTTTGTACAATTATGACTAGTGAAGATTTCTTGGACGCATTTGAGAAGCTTCTAAAGTAAGCATTGTGTGAACGCATGGCCCAGTGGCTGCTGATTGTCATGAATTGCTTAAAATCTCCAGATTAAATTTAAAATGGTCTGGTATCGTTTCTGTAGTTAGTTGCAATAAGATTTAAAAAGTGCCTGTGCAAGAGAGTGATAGGAATTTTCCTTATTTGCTTCAAATTCAGAATGAAATAGAGGGAACTAGTACAGGCTGGACAGTGGTCCGAACTCGGCCCTGCACTGGAAGGAAGCATGCTTTTGTGGGAAGTCAGGACGATGGCAGGAACCTGACGATGAGGCTCACAGTCCAGTGCTCGTCCTGTTTCTTGTCCCTCAGAACCAGTGACAGGCCTTTGTAGCTGGCACAAGACTCACCAATCGGTGTCGACTCCATGGTCACCATGGCCAGAAACACTAAGGCCAGGGGACAGGACCCAGCCTGTCGCTCCTGCCTTGTTACCCCCACCTCTGCTCCACTCCCTTTTAACCAAACTGCCAGAGAGGCGTGGCCCTGGAAAGGTCTCTGCCTTAAACCTGCTCAGATTTGGCAAATTGAAATTTCCCCGTCGCTGTTTGTGTTTTGTAGGCTTGGGCTTAAGGACCAGCAGGAAAGGGAAATAGTCCACGTTCTCATGGATTGCTGTCTGCAGGAGAAAACATACAACCCTTTCTACGCCTTCCTGGCCAGCAAGTTCTGCGACTATGAGAGGAGGTTCCAGGTAACTTGTTAGAAGACCAACAGGTCCCCGCGCTCCGCTGTCCTCTAAGCATTCTGTCAGGCTTGGCCCACCCCAGGGGGGACCTTAGTTTGGTCCCGGGGAGAGTAGCTGACCACAACCGAAGCCGTGTCTGCCATGTCATCTTTCTGGGCACAGGTGAGGGACTGTCACAGCCCAGTAACCAGCGGAGTACCTCTGGTGCCGCACCAAACTGTCCTTCTCCAACATTCGTGCTGCCTTGAGGGGCGTGTGGCTGTCTCCTGTCACCTGTGCATCAGAAAGGACAGTGGAGTTGTCCTCAGAGTCTTGATTTTTAAGATACTACAAATGAGTGAATAAGCAGAGTATCTGTATCTTTATATTTTTCTTGATTTCAGAGAGGAAGAGAAAGGCAGAGAGAGATAGAAACATCAATGATGAGAGAGAATCATTGATCGGCTGCCTTCTGCACACCCCCCACTGGGGATCGAGCCCACAACCAGGCATATGCCCTGACCGGAATCGAACCAGGGACCCAGCAGTCCACAGGCCCATGCTCTATCCACTGAGCCAAACCGGCAAGGGCTAGATCGTATTTTTAGTCATTTGTTCTAATAACTTGTTGCGTTTAAACTTTTCTTCTTTTCCGTTCTTACGTTAGATGACGTTCCAGTTCAGCATATGGGACAAATTTCGAGACTTAGAGAACTTACCAGCCACCAACTTCTCCAATTTGGTTTATCTGGTGGCCCACTTGTTGAAGACAAAATCACTCCCACTTTCCATTTTAAAGGTTTGTAAGACAGATGAAACTACTGAAAGCAATGAAATGATGACAGTTGTTTATATTTGGTGCCTTAAAATTGTGCTTGTGCTTTTGCTCACTCAAGTCTAGAAATTAAGTGCCTGCTGGACCCCTCCCCCCCCCACCAGCAGTGCGTAGGCTTTCCGTCATTTTATAAAGCTGGACATAGCCTTATTTAAGGGGGGGTTGTTTTTTACTCTATTTAGAAATTACTGGAAAAGTTGACTAAATCAATGTAACTTTATTTTTCTTCCTATCCTGACTGTTAGGTGATTGAGTTCAGTGAATTGGATAAACCCAGAGTCCACTTTTTACGAGAAGTGTTACATGTGCTGTTGATGGGAACAGAAGCTGAAGACCTCTGTTTCATTTTCACAAGGTATGGTCCCAGCCTTGCTGACACATCGTGGGAAAGAGAGGGCGCTGTTCCCGCTTACAGGTCACTCCTCACTGGTAAAAGCAAGGTGGTTGTACTCTGTGTCTACTTAACCCCTAGAGTGCCAGGGAGCATGATCGTGCTCCTCCTGTCTTTCGCCAAAAGTGCCGGGAGCACGATCGCGCTCCTGCTGCAGTGTCACTATTAGATGCTAGTAGTTCACTCTTTATTGACAGATGGCACCCAAGTGCAGATTTACAAATGTAGTAAAGGTTTCCTTAAGTTTTTGAATATGTAACTTCATTTACTTGCGATTCATAATTTTTTTTCCTAAACTGCTGTAAAATCAGCAAAAATGCCTTGGTAATTTTAGCATAGTTCCTAGGATATTGGTTGGCACTCAAAGGGTTAAGTCCATTTTAGTTTTAAACTAGTACAGTATGTTATACATTAGATTTCGGGAAAAGGAAACCTGCCTGATAGCAAACTAGTAATGATTTCTTGCAAATAGGGTATGTTAAATTCTCCCTTGCAAATTTTTTATATTATTTTTTAGAGAGGAAAGGAGGCAGGGAGGGAGGGAGAAACATCGATCAGTTGCCTCCCACATGTGCACCAACTGGGGATTGAACCCATAACCTAGGTATGTGCCCCGACCAGGAATCAAACCTGCCACCTTTTGGTGTACGAGACTGACGTTCGAACCAACTGAGCCACACAGGCCTGGGCAAGAGTTCTCTTTTTAAAAGAAATAGTTTCTGTCTCCCCATCCAAGACTTCTAGAATGGAGAGCTAGGTAGACAACTCGTGCCTGACAGTTTTTACGGTTTCTTTCCAGGGTGTCCGACAACCCAAAGCTGGGTGTGCTGCGCGAAGGTTTGAAGCTCTTCATCAGCCACTTCTTGCTAAAGAGCGTGCAGGCGCACCGCAGTGCCGAGGAGGCCAGTGCGCTGCGGGAGCGAGCCGAGCTCGCCACCAAGGCCTTGCAAGGAAGGCCTTCACTGAGAATGTAGGGATCTGTCTGCCAGGCGCCCTTTTAACCCAAAGGCCTGTTACTCCGCTGGCTATAAAAACTGGGGAGAGTCATATCATGGTCTGTTGTATTTACAGTATTATATTTTGAGATAATTTTTGATCCAAGGTTATATTGTGTGTGTTGTAAACCAGTTTTTTCAGGGCTTGTGCACGTGTGTGTGTGTGTGTGTGTGTGTGTGTGTGTGTGTGTGTAGGAGGCATGGGCAGACACACTGGACAGTGTTCTCTGAGTAACAAGACTAGGGTGAGTAAAAGTGGGACTTGTGTGGTTCTTATTTTTTCATAGACAAGATGGGCCACTAGAGGGTGCAGTTATAAAGAAATTGGCATGTTTTTTATCTTTCTAAACATATTAGTTAAAGTTCCGAAGCCATCAGTTAAATATGGTGCCTGATATTTAATTGATTAAGCATTTGGAATGCAGGTGTTCCAGAAAAGTGAGGGACTACCGTGAGCCGAGGAAATGTCAGAGCCATGTAGTGTGGGTGGGTCGTTCGTGTGACACCTCTGAAGCCGTGACTCAGTCGGCACGTGCTCCCTGTCTGTGTTGGCCACTTACACCCATCAATTCCAGGTCGTGATGCACTTTTCTAAACAGCATTGAACTTCCTGGGGCTCCTGCCGAGCTGGGGGCTGGGAAGTGTGAAACATGGGGCCGCCTGCTGATATGCAGAATGACTTTGAAGAGTCACCCTTAGAATGTGCTTTCCTCTTAAATGGGGAGGGTCGCTTTAAATGTCACTGTCACTTATTGCAAAAAGTCACCAAGACTTGTGTTGAGAATATGACTTTGTATAGGATACATACCCACAAACCCTACAGTGTGCTGTCCTTCCAGGGCTGCCTTGGGAAGCTGCCGGACCTGAGGGAGGCCCCTCCTAGTCAGACTCCCCTTTGCCACACACTATCAAGTAGTGTCAGCAGCTCATGACTAGAAATACAGTGTGCAGTCCCAAGTGTCTCTGCATGTCTCTAAACTAATGGGCTAAGTTTCTTTTGTTTTTTGTTGTTTTTTAATTTTATTTTATTGTGGTAACATCTCTTTTTAAAACACATTTTTATTGATTTCAGAGAGGAAAGGAGAGGGGGAGAGAGAAGCATCAATGGTAAGAGAAAATCATTGACCGGCTGCCTCTTGCACGCCCCACACTGGGGACTGAACCCGCAACCCAGGCATGTGCACTTGACGAGAATCAAACCCGGGACCCTTCAGTCTACAGGCCCACGCTCTATCCACTGAGCCAAACCAGCCAGGGCACGGGCTAAGTTTTGAAACGGAGAATTCAGTTCAGGTTAGCTGTAACGCATCTCGGACATGGCTGCTCCTCCTCTCGGAGTCCCCCAGCGGGCTCCAAACACGCATAACAAAGAAGCTGAGGTGTCGAGCGTGCCGGAGCCCGCGCTTCATTCAGGGGCTTTTCAACAAGAGACGTGAGCCAGGTGGTGGTCAGGGTGCAAGCCACGCCACTCCCAGGGCAGGGGCTGGGATGTCTGTTTCCTCAAGAAGAACCTCCACTTAACGACAGACCTTTCGCTCCGATGCCGGCTCCTGACGACCCCTCATAGTCTCTGCCCTATTCTTGCTCCAGGGTGCTGGCTCTTGACCCCTCTTACAGGCAGTTCAGAGGCTGACAGTTCCTGGGACTTGCCAGGTCAGCAGTGCCACCCGCGGGCTCAGCAGCGGTGAGAGTGAAGATTTCTAGAAACATCCTGATAGGTGTGCATCAGGAGTTGGTACCTTTAAATGAAGAGGTTGAGGGGGGCAGACAGGAGTTTGGGAAGCTTGGTGGTGCTTTCGTCAACATCCGGATCTGGGTCAATGGAGCCTACAGAGGTCGGGGTTGGGGTACAGCCCTCCCAGCTCTAGATGCAATCTTAAGGGCCTGGAGGAGAGT